TCTCTCTTTCCCCTCCCTCTCTTTTTCTTTCCCCTTCCCCCCGAACTCCATTTCTTTCTCTTCAGGGGGAGAGCTCATCCTGCCCATCCTCACGGAGGACGCGCTCGAAATCCCTTCGACGGTGTCCCGCTCCCCGTTCCCGGTGGCACCGGCGCCAACTTACCGGCCGTTCGTCCGCCTGCTGGAGTCCACCGAGGGCTCGCCGAGCCTGGGCTCCAAGATGGCGCCGCCTCCACCTCCTCCTCGTCGTCGTCCTCCTTCATCCTCCCGGTGCCCGGATGATTGCGTCACCACCACCACCGACGACGACGACGATGAAGAAGAAGGAAAACAAAATGGCGGCGGCGTCGACGCGGCGCCATCTTCTTCTTCATCGTCCTCCTCTTCGGGCTACGGCTCGGGTGAGATCTTCGACTCCAGCTTCCCACCGAGCGACGACGAGGATTTTTACGGCGCCCCGTCTCACCCGCTGGTCACCGACCGCACCTCGTCCTGGGGAGACCGGGGACTCTCCAAATCGAGGACGGGCGCGGAAGACGGCGGCCGGGCTTCCCCCAGGCCGCCTCCCCCCGACATCACCCTGTTGGTCACCGACAGCGTCCGCAAACTGCCCGCCGCTAAGCTCGATCCCCGGCCCCCGCTTCCTCCGCAGCCGACGGTTGTGATGACGGGCGGCGGGGAGAGGAGGACTCGGGCCCGCCATCACCCCCCTCCTTCCTCCTCGGTACTAACCTCTCGCCCCGTGCCCACTGTAGGAGTGGAACCGCCGACGACGGGAGGAGGAGGAGGAGGAGCGGCGGCAGCGGGCGGGAGGCCGGGCCAGGTCGAGGTGGTGGTCCGGGAGTCGGGCAGTACCACGGGCATGGTGGTTGGCATCGTGGCGGCGGCCGCCCTCTGCATCCTCATCCTGCTGTACGCCATGTACAAGTACCGCAACCGCGACGAGGCGTCCTACCGGGTCGAGCAGAGCCGCCACTACATCAGCGGCGGCGGCATGGGCGGCGGAGGAGCCTCGGCCCACAGTAACGGAGCCGCCCTCAAGGACAAGGCGCTGGCGGCCGCCGCCTCCTCCACCACCACCACCACCACCACCTCCTCGGTCATCGCTAACAACATCACCTCGTCCTCATCCTCCTCCTCGGGGACGGGGACTGTCACTGCCAAGGCCATGAGCAAGGGCAAGAAAAACAAGGACAAGGAGTACTATGTGTGAGGGAGAGGGAGTGAAGGGGGAGGAGTGTGAGAGGGAGAGGGAGTGAAGGGGGAGGAGTGTGAGAGGGAGAGGGAGTGAAGGGGGAGGAGTGTGAGAGGGAGAGGGAGTGAAG